ACAGTACTAAATGACAGAGTCATTTGTGACTCCCTGACAGCACAGTCATTTAGTTTTGTGGGCTACGGGGGGTGTTGCCCACAAGACTTAATGCGCCAGTCATTTGGCCATGTGCTTCCAAATTCCTTAAACTCCTCCCTGGCCATGTGCCTCAAGTCTTCAAAAGAACAGGAATACCTAATGAGCCACCAAAGGCCACAAAAGTTAGACAAAGCATTAGAACGTTAAGTCTTGTGGGCAACACCCCCCGTAGCCCACAAAACTAAATGACTGTGCTGCCAGGGAGTCACAAATGACTCTGTCATTTAGTACTGTGGGCTCTGGAAGCCTAGGGGCCAAAGTCAATGACATTGTTGCCAGGGAGTCGCAAATGACTCTGTCATTTAATATTGTGGGCTCTTGAAGCCTAGGAATGAAGCTATGTCGTAGGGAGCACGAGAATCAGTTCAAGACCTCAGTGCAAGTAACCATAACTTCTCATAAGGCACACAGTGACTCATCTGCCGTGCAGGTGCCATGGCTTTGACAAGGGAGAGCGTGATAAAGAAGCTGAATGGCGAGCTGAGGAAAATGTTTCTGCCAGGTGACCTGGCAGATCCGAAGTCTGGCACGCATGTTCTGGATTACTTTGTGGCATTGGACCGTGTGGCATGGGTGCAGAGCATGCAAGATCTCCGTGGCCGTCTGCAGACACTCGGCTGGATGCAAGAGCCCGAGGTGACGCATGTGCCACAGCCAACTGCAGCTGTGGATTTCATGGCCAACATCACAATGCTGAACTTGAATCCTATGCGCGGCAAGCCAAAGGTTGTGAATGTCATTGAAACGGTCCGTAATTTTCTTGACCAGAAATTCGAATCCTTGCGAAGCCCCCTGGTTGTGGTCCCGGACACAGGACTGGGGCAGCCAGTTGGCACTGGGACATGGACTGTCTCAGTTGGCATGACCCGAGCACTTGCTTGCCGCCTCGTCTGCAGCCTTGCGGAGCAGCACCTTGCGGACGAGGAGTTGCAGTTGCTGAAGGCAGAAGTTTCTGCCTGTTTTCAGTTCAAGTGTGTCATGGAGGTGCCGGTGCCGCCAGAGGAACTTCTGGCCAAGAGCATCCGAGCCAAATTCGTGGTCTCGGAGTCGACAAGGCCAGACATTCTTCAGTTGTACTCTGGGCTACAGGCCAGCTTCGCGACGCAAGGATTGGTGTATCAAGATGCCATTGCGGCGTTTGTTGCCGATTTCAATGCCAAGAGCAGTGTGGACACCTCACGCCTGAGCGAAGGGGAAGTCAAGATGCTTCTGCTGCTGCCAAGCCAGGAGGCTCTCTTCTTGGAGGCGCTGTCTGGCCACTGGGACCAGTTTAAGAAGGAGGACTCGGGGATCACGATGCGCATGCTGCTCAGCAACGTGAACCGCACGAAGCCCAAAGATGCGAGAGTCCCACTCCTCTGGCAAACAATCTTTGCTCCGAGCGCCAGGAAGAACACGTACTTCATCCTTCGGCAGATAGCTGTCTTTGTGAAAGCTGTGCAGCAGGCCAGCAGCACCCTGAGGAAGGGCCAGAGCCTGAATCTGCGGGTACGCGCAGCATCATTGATGACATAAATCAGATTCTCTCTTTCTTGGCCAGAGTGGTTTTGAAGTTAGAATCTTCAGAAGGGTTTTCTTCCTGGGTCATGACGAAAACGGCAGAGGCACGCTTTCGTGACCAGAGCCCAGACATTGGCTATGACATTGTCTGCTGCTGGGCGCACTGGGAGCAGGACTTCCGGACGGCCTTGGGAGGCAAGTACGATGAGACCTTCAACAAGTTCCTTGGCGGAGCCTTTGACAAGGAGTTCACTGAGAAGGTGAAGACTCAGGACGGGGGCCTTGTCCTGGACGATTGGCGTTTCCTCAGTATCTTGCAGGGAACGCAGACAACGGTGCGGAGCTTGGAGGTGAAACAAGCTGAAGCTGATCAAGCAGCTGAGCGTGCAAAGTATGCCGCACGGGAGGCCGCTGTCCTGAAAGAGCAGCAGCTCTTTCAGGAGTACTGTGGGAAAGTGAGGGCACATGAAGCAAAGAGGCAAGCTGACGAGCGGGCCTTCAGGCTGGAGGATGCGGCAGGTTTTGACAAGGCCTGTGCACAGTACATGGAAGCCTGGGTGCTAGCGGTTGGTCCCATTGCTCCAGAGTTCGTCACTGCGCAGTCCCGCAAGCTCCTCAATGAGTTTGCTGTGAGGCAAGGCGTCCAGCCCGATGGTGTGGTCAGCCTGCTTCTTGCTGATCTCACGAAACTGGGGTCGGCATTCTCCAAGCATCTCACAAATGTCACCAAATTCGTGGCGGACCACGTGCAAGCGGACCCCGTGAATGCAGCAGCTTTGGTGTTTCCACCAAACACTGGCTGTTGGGGCTCCACCTTCAGCGAAGTGGAGGTCGACAAGGCGTTGGGCGACGTGGAGTCCGCTCTCAAGATGGAGCAGGGATCTC